ATATCATATAATCACAGATATCATATAATCACAGATATCATATAATCATAGATATCATAATCACAGATATCATAATCACAGATATCATATAATCACAGATATCATATAATCACAGATATCATATAATCACAGATACCATATAATCACAGATATCATAATCACAGATATCATATAATCACTAGATCCCTCATCGGCTGCTGCAGTGCAGGAATTTCGGCTGCCATCTTGGAACCGTCATCCTTATTTGGTTAAAGCAGAAGATGTCTCAGCACTTCGCAGCTTATTTCTGTTCTAATCGACGGACTGTTGACGTCAGGTCTCATGGGATAACTTTTCACAGTAAGATGAACATATTATTGTTAGTATTTTGTGAATATAATATTACTGTACTGTATTTATGTCCACCAGCTGATGTTATGTTCAGTGTAACACGGTGTTCAGCTGCAATGAAGCTAACTGAGATCTGATGACAGGAATATTTTGCTAACAAGCATACTCACTATTTCAGTAGCTTTGGTTCATTATCAACAGATATGAATCAAAACTGGAGTTTTGTTTAAATCCTAAGAAATAAAAATAAATAAAACTAGGGAGAATGTAGGAAATAGTTAGAAAATAAGATTGACCTCCTTTGTACAATCTCCTGATGCATGCTCAATAATCCAGGTAGAAAAATCTAAAAAGTTAAATCTGGTCCTCTGGACATTCAAAAAACTACACAAAGCAAAACAAAAAAAATGTAGAAATGTTTTATCTTTCATCCAAGAGACTTCCTCAGTCTGAGGTGCTGTTTTCAGCTCAGTCTCTTAAATAGCACCTTCTCAGAGTGGATCAACCAGTTTGCTGCTGACAACCAGAACCAGCTGATCACATGCTCAAGAAGGACCATCAGCCTAACAATGGATCATTAGCACCTGATGGCTGTTTACTGTTCACAGAGGGCTGAGTGATACTAGCAATCACAGCATTGTAAGAGGGGGACAGTTGAACCTGGAGGCCTCCACCCCTGTTTAATGATGGACGGTTTCTTTTCACAAAGATGGCCTCCTTTACTCCTCTTTCAAACCATCGTTCCTCTCTATCCAGGATGTGAACATCTTCATCCCTGAAAGAGTGACCGCTGGCCTGGAGATGAGTGTAGACCGCAGAGTCCTGGCCTGATGATGTTGATCTTCTGTGCTGGGCCATCCTTTTGGCCAGTGGCTGTTTAGTTTCCCCGATGTAAGACTGATCACCCTCCTGACACTGAACAACATACACAACATTACTCTGTTTGTGCCGGGGGACTGGATCTTTGGGATGAACCAGTCTTTAATGTATTTTGGGGTTTAAAAGCCACTGGGACGTTATGTTTAGAAAATAAACATCTCAGTTTCTCTGATACTCCCTCAACATACGGAAGGGACACCACCAAGTCATTGGTTCAGGTATGTTGACGACACCTGGGTTAAAATCAAATCCCAGGAAGTCCAACATTTTACTGACCACATCAACTCTGTGGATAAATACATCAAGTTCACACGAGAAGATGTAAAAAATGGCAGGTTGGCTTTCTTGGACTGTGAGGTCTCAGTCTCTGATAGAGGACATTTGCAAACCGAGGTGTACCGCAAACCCACCCACACAGACCAGTATTTACAGTTTGACTCCCATCACCCTTTGGAGCACAAGTTAGGAGTCATCAGGACTCTGTACCACAGAGCAGACAGCGTCCCCACTAGCTCAGGAGCCAGGTAGAAGGAGAAATCCCACACAAGACAGGCTCTAGAGCAATGTGGATATCCTAACTGGGCCTTCCTGAAAGCAGAGAAGAAACCCAAACAGGACTCCAGTCAGCCAAGAGGTGAAAAGGAGGAACCCAGACCCAGACCAGTGGTCATGATGATGGTGCTGTCGGTCCGGGGAGTTGAACCGGCAACCTTCCGATCGCTGGCCCACCTTCTCTAACCTCTGCGCCACCACTCCCCCATATTTAAATACAGTAGTCCCTTGTTTATCTCAGGGGTTGTCGTTCTCAATCCCCCAGCTATAAGTGAAAAACCGCAAAGTAGTAATATTAGTAAAAGTAGTAAGTAGTAGTTTATATGTACATATATATATATATATATATATATATATGTATGTATATATATAAAGGCTTTAAATCCTTTTCTATACTCTTGCAATATCCTAAACAATGTTTCTAAACTCTAAATGCTCTAAAAGAGTGCAGTGTGTCATGATGTCTGCTCTCTGCCATCTGCCAGTGCTCTTGGCCACGCCCACTTCTCCGCAGCAGAGTAGAGATTATTACAGGCTGTAGGAGGAAGCTTTTTCTGCAGCTCTGGGCTGCACAAATGGTACAGGAGGTGCTAAATCATTTAATCATTTATTTTGAATAAAAATTACACGCTGATCGTGCAGCTCATCCATCAATCAGCCAGTTGTGTGTCATGTCCAATCTTATTTTGAAAAAAACGTGAGTGAATCCACGATAAACGAACCGCAAAGTAGCGAGGGACTACTGCACCTATGTATTCACCTCCTTCTCAATAGTTGGCTCAATTCATCTTTCCTTCAAGTCTGATCAGTTTCTCAGTCCCTACTAATAAAAAGCATCCCCACAGCATGATGCTACCACCACCATGCTTCACTGTGAGGATGCTCTCAACATGATGTCATCAGTGTCAGACTTGTTGTTCTTTAAGCCATGCTTTTTTCTTCCACTGAGCCCAGCTCATGCTTTATGACGAGTCAAACAGCTGCTGAGGTGACAAACATGGAACTTTGTCCAACACAGTGAAGCTGCGTCACGCCTGCGGTGCTTTGTTCTTACGGTGGTTGTGTTCGTCGGCATGTCCAAAGGCTGTTTCTTGTACGGCATCTCGATGACTTCGAACGAAGCTGGAGATCGAACCACATACGAACGGTTCTGATTCTCAGTCTAAAAAAGTAAACAAACAAAACGGATTAAAGAAAGTTGAGAAATATTTCAAGTATCAAATGTTTGTTTTCTTGTGGTTCAAACTGAAACTTAAACAGAGACAAGGTCTCCTAAAGTAAATGGACTGTACTTATAGAGCCTTTCTATCTGATCAAGATTAGGGCATTAACAGAGTACTCGAGTAATCTACACATCGATTGCTAGGACATCTATCGAGGTTAAAAATGTAACATCGAGTATCCGTAGTGACGTCATGTTATGTGACCACCGTATGACCGTAGGGGGCAGTGTTGCACTGTTGCAGGTCACAGAGTATGGTGTAACACCGGGTCCAATCCACCGAACCAGAACCAGCTTCCTCTGACCTTGTTTCACAAACAAAAAGCTAAAAATATTAATCTCTAAACCTGTTAAAAAAAACCTATAAACATATTAATCTCTAAAACTAAACTTAATGCGCACCACAGCTGGCGGTGGTGCGGGGTGGTCAACCCCCCCCCACCCCCACGTTAAGTTTCGTTTTTGACGTGCTGCATGTTTCTTCATGTTTGCAGTTTAATAATAAAAACTAATGGTTTAGTTTTTCCTGTGACTTATTTGCAGTATGATAAATGGTAGGAGCATAATATATGCTCCCAATGTTTTGTTGGTCTTTTATTGTAAATAATTACCTTTTTTTGCGATTTTATTTATTTATTTATTTTTGTATCTTGAGATCTATGACGTCATCAAATACTCGAGTTCTACTCGGGTTTTATTATGTTAATGTCGAGTTTAAAAATTATATACTCGTTCAACCACTAATCAAGATATTTAAAGCTCTTTACAGCACACTCTGTCTCTTACCTCCACACATTCATACAGCACTCTACTACATCTCTACACAGATAATCTGAATTTAGAGATTAATAGAGCTTTAGATCACATTCATACACTGATGGGACACACATCAGAGGCTATGAGGGTTCAGTGTCTTGCCCAGGGACACTTCAACATGTGGCTGCTGGTGGAATCGAACCCCCAACTCTTGCATTGGAGGACAACTGCTCTAACCACTCAGCCACAGCCGCCCCTGAAAGTTGTGTGTTTGAGTAACATTTTAGTTTAAAACAGATTCTCAACTAAAACTATTTTGTTTACCCGGAGGAAGTTGTTGACATCCAGTCTGGAGTAGATGAAGAGGATGGCGTTCTTCGTCCTCTCCAGACGACCAACTTGACATTTTAGCTCCAGACACTGAGCTGTGGCGCAGTCCTAAAAATCAATCTGAAGTTATTCAAGTTCACAGATTCATTTCATGCTACAGAAGTGGAAAAACTAAGTTCTTGTCCACGTCTCAGACACACTGTGGATGCTGTCATGTAAAGTGACAGTGTAGTGCTGTATGGAAGTGAGGGGCTGGTCACAGGTAAGTCTTGTTGATAGTGTGTACCAGTGTCTGCAGGTCGCTTTGTGCATCTCTGGACTCCAAGTCTCTCTTGCGAACGTGGTTCTGACTTCGTCCTTCAGTTTCTCGTTCTCTGGTTGGAACCATGCTGGTGTTCTGTGACGTTACTGGGTTCTGACAAACACAAAGTGAGCAAAACGAAATGAGCCCTAATGATCAATGTGCACAGCACGGCTCTGTCACCTCTACAGGAACCACGAATAAGAAAAGAAAATGGTCTACTTTCAGTTTATCTATCTTCAAGTGTACAAAACAACACAAAAGATTCCACCAGGGCGTTATTTATTCAATTTAAATAAGACCAAAATATAAACACTAAATACACCCCATGACTCAGCTTGTAGAACAATGACCTTCAGTCCTGGTCCTTGTGAGTCACTGTTGTACGTACTTTAGTTGGGTGGCCTCCTCTAACACACTCGATCCAACGGTTGAATTATGTCTTCAGCATTTCCTCAAGTTGTACAGAAGTCTGTAATCACGATTCAGAAAAGGTGTGTTGAAACACAAACGTCTAAAAGGTGACGTGAAATGGCCTCAATGAGCAGGACACCACCGTTTTGTTTAATAGCAATAACAGTAACAGGATTTTTTTTTATTCTTCTTTCGGCTGCTCCCTTCTGTCTTTCGGCTGCTCCCTTCGGTCTTTCGGCTGCTCCCTTCGGTCTT